AGCCTACTGCAAAGCTTGGAGTTGGCTGTCCTGAGTTTGCATCTGACAAGTACAACCATGAAAATCAGGCATCAGAGGTTTGATCGAGATACACGTAATTGAGCTGTTCGAGCCTCATGTGGGATGCGCATGCGCGTAAATCAAAATGTGTCAGCAGCTTGATTCAATAGTTCCTGTGTGCAACACATAGACTGTCGATCAGCATGCATGTATCCGGCCTGGTGAGGTTTGGGTGCTCTGCAGCGCTGGAGCACGAGCGTCGCGAGCATTGCCAAATCCGAAAAGACTTGCATGAGTTCTGTAGCTATATGACCTCCAAAGTATCGCATGATCAAGGCCTTTATAGAACTTCTAAATGTTCAGTCGATACAGCGCAATTCTATAATAGTGCCCCACATACGGTACTCGGGAGGTCATAATAGGGAACACATCCTCTGGCTTTCATCCAGAACTGAGGGGACCTATACATAACCACCTGTAGATATACCTGCAGGTATGTACTTGGCACCCTTGTTTTGGATTGAGGGTGATTCAACCTGTGGGTCCGTGACTTGAAGGGCTTGCAAACAGTTCAAGGACCCTGCTGGTGCATGCAGCACGCACAATTCCTTGGAGGGGCCCCTTCTATTCATTGCGCCTCACACCATGGAGCCTAGCTAGAGACATGATTCCCGACAGCCTATAGGGTTCTAAGAGGCTTGCAGTCAACAAATTTCTAAGCTAGACTCCCCAATGGATGTCTGACCGATGTGCACTACCCGAAAGTCAGGAATCGCCTGCCATTTTCAGGAAACGCCTGCAGATTTGGAAAGGCGCCTTTTGCAGGAAAGGCTGAAAAAATGAACCCCCCGGATGTTGCAGGTCATCAAAGTCACCAACTTTCATCATCTCCATCATTTTCCAGCAGTTTCTAGCATAAAAGGTGTCGTAGCTGTGTTTGCAGTCAGGGAAGACTATGCGGATCATGTTGTTTGCAAGTAAGGGGGGCTGCGCATTCCACCCCCCTGTTTTTTTGAGGCCCTCCCTCCAAGTTTGCTGTAACAAAAAAGATCATGTCATCAGTAAGGGAGGGTTATGCAGATCATTTTGTTTGCCAAGGGCCAACCCCCCCCCCTTGTTAAGGCCATCCATGCTTGCCATTGTCATCGTTTTAAATCATCTCAAGGCTTTCCATGATCCCAACCCCACATCTTTTTTTTTTTTTGTGAGGTCATCCAAGCTTGCTGTAAAAAACGTGATCAGTAAGGGCGAGTTATGCAGATCATGTTGCTTGCAAATAGCCACCCCGCCCCCGTTCTTTGATGCCATCCATGCTTCATTTGAAGTTCATCATTTGTATGTTATTGTTCATCAGTTTTCATCATGTTTCATGATTGGTTCATCATTTTTTTAACAATTCCATCATTTTTTTCATTTTCATGATGTTGTCATGTTTTTCAGAATTTGGCACTCCTTTTGAAAGTCCAAGAAGGTTGAGGGTCTAAAAGCGAGGACAATTACGAGGATCCCTGTGACTGTTGACAAAACCCCGACTGCCACAATGCCTGTAACGGTTGAAAAAACACAAAAATGGAAAACATACAATGTTCTAAGTGAATTCCGCGGCCCATGAACATTTGCCGTTGCTTCTGCAGCAGCCTGCCGCTCGATCAAGTCTATGGATGCTGGGACGTGGAGTGCATGACCAGTATGTTGCCAAGACCCCGCTCGAAGAAATCCATGCCAGCCTCCAGGCACCCGAGCAGGCCGCATGACTCCTTGGTCCTTGTTGGGAATGGGAGAATGTTTTACAGAGACCAGCATAGGAGATTTAATAGGAACTACTACAGTAAGATCCCTGACCGCGCAGAACGTTCAGGCCTTGAGTGCCTGCTCGTTCGATGCCGCGAAATCTACCAAGCTTTACTTGACATGACTGCTGCGGTGAAAAGCTGGGTGTACTGCAATATTCCTGCAGCTTGCAGTTGTGGCGTCGTTCCCGGCGACAGTTCTGTTTATTCGGCTCGCGATGCTGTCTGCTGCTTCAAGGACGTTTCAAGCTCCAACTGTGACAGGGAATGAGCGTAACTGAGCAAGCGCATCCTGCGGAGCCCAAGGAAGAAGTTGGCCCATCTGGGCATGACGAGCGTCCGATGGCAGCAAGGTAGTGAACGGTTTCGTCTCAGCATTTTGGTATGCTTTGGTGAATCCTGCAGGTGCTTGAGTAGAAGAGTTCTGCTGTGTGTGTAACATGCGCGCTCTGAGTTTTTAAGTTGATGGTACGTCTACTCAGGTGATGGTTGTGCATCAGCGCCTCGGAAGCAGCCTGCGGAGCCAAGAGCAGTTTATATGTAGAAAGCAGAAGACTTAGTAATAGTATAAACAGCCTTGTATCCATAATTATAGCATGATGTCCCCCTAAGACCCCATTCAAATTTGTTTAGCTCGTACATCGGTCTCGAGGAATCTTGACGTCCTAGCTTGCTCCCCAACCCTCGAGACTCTAGACATACCAGAGCTCCGAGCAAGATCCGAGGCCGCGATGGTCCTTGTTCTCCTTGTTCGACGATGTGCTACTGCTGGGAAAGGCAGCATTTCCTGTTTGCAGACCCGCGAGCAGTACTCTTGAGGTGGTCCCATACAGGGCCCCAGTATAATTACCAATTTCTCCTGTCGGTCACTGTCAGTCCCTTAACCCACACGTATGGTGAACTTGGAGACATCGCAGCATTGCCTTCCAGGGTGGCCGCACAGTCTACCTCGGCCCTGCCCAGGGCAAGGAGCCAAGGAGTCCAGACAATTGTCTCCCTTTGAGAAAGCAAAATCGGAACAGTAGTGTGGGCTTAGGTTTGGGGTGACTCGCAGCAAACGAGGAACGGGTTGTAGGGATTAGAGTGTTCTAGAGGCACAGACGGACTACCAGGAGTATTAGGTTTCCAGTCTCTCATTCACCACCGCAAGCGCCAGTATTGCAGTTGAGCAGCGCATTACCAGCCTCTAAAAAGACTGGCGGACGAGGGAATAAAACCCCTATGGTAGCCTTTTAGCCCCTATACTTTTCCTTACAAATAGTTGTGTGACCCATTCCTTCATTCCCTACCACCACTGCGTGGCTGAGGCGCACAGAGATACTTCCAACATCTGGGGTTTGAGGCGAGATGTTGCTTTCCATCAGATTGCATGCCAGTCCTATGCGAGTTCCAGATGCCGAAGCGCCTTCTTCAGAGTTCAGCTGTTCATGGCAGCGTCCCAGGCACCTATTTCCGAAAATCCAGCGGACTGGATCATGGACATCATCGTCGCTCTCTTGACTTTCAGCGCCTGGTGAAGCCTCTCCTGTACACATGATTTATGTTTCCGAAAGGTTGTTGCTAATTCGGTGGGAATGTTTTTAACGTAATTCAAGAACCCGACACAGCTTAGACAGTCGCAGAAACCAAAAAGTTTGAAACCTTTTTACCAAAACGCTTCTGCAGCTTGAGGCTGGTGAAGTGCCCAATCATCTCATCCCGCAGTTCACGCCGGAGATGTCTTGGCCTTAAAAGGTCGCCACGTCGGGCCTTTGTGGTGTGCATAAGATGGAGTTGGGGAGGGAATGTGGTTTTGTTTAACCGAGATGCCTCTTGCATTTGGGCATGCACTTGGCAGAAGTTTCTCAGTTCTGAGGCTCTACGAGCTGTGGGAAGTCAATGCCCAGGCTGTGCAGAGGTGTCTCACCCAGTTTTATGTGCGGATGCTCATGCCAACAGAAGCTGATTCAGCAAGGCCCTTTTCTTGCTTGGGAAGCGCCCAGGTCAGCAAAAGCCATCGCCATACAGGCTGGGCTGTACAGAAAGGGATTACGCAGACATAACACCTGCCTAAGTGCTCAAGGCTACCAGCGGCGCTCAGGTTTTGTATCTAGTGCTCTGACAGCTGCGGCTTTAAGCTGCCGACGTTGGTGACGAGCAGGTCCGGGATGCGGTTCCAGCCGATGATTTCCACACAATGATCAAGAAGTTGGACGAGGAGCAAAGAGCATCACTGGTTAGCTGCACTCTGCGACCTCCCATTCTGGAAGCAAATCAGTCATTGAAGTGCTAAGTTGTTTGAGAGGAGTGGCCGCGGATTTGCTACACACATGCTCCTTCCGCTCCTTGGCTCTTTTTGAGATCATGCGCCCTTAGCACTAAAAAGTGTGCCCCTCCGAGGCAGTTGATCCGAAGCGAGAGGGTGTTTTACGAGAGGCACAGCGGGCTAAATGCAAGGGGAAGCTGCATCTTTACATGAGCCACAAGATGCCACAAGTACAATAAGCATGAGATTGCTAAACTGCGGACAGGGTGTTGCTACTGTGACCTGTGGTTTTTACGTCGTGTGTACCTGTACCTGTCTACCTCACGCTCGATCATCTAGGGATCCCTGCAAGTACCTTGTCACAACGTCAGGGCTCGACAGCACTGCTTGTAGAGTTGATGAGGGATATTCGCGCAAGAGCCTTCATACTGAGGATGGACCCGGATCATCCCCATAGGTCCCGACAAAGATTCCCATTTTGGGAAGACTGGAAAGCATGATGGAGCAAACCCTAAAGTACAGACCACTGACATTCAGGCGGATCTCCTGCGCCTCCTGAAGTCCATCCGCCCCACTGTAGCTGAGGACGAGGAGCAGCGCATCTTACCGTAGCTAGTAAAAGCCAAAACCTATAACCAGGTGATAGCCTACAGTTCAGGTAGTGCTATTGTAGATGGCGGAATTCTGTCGCGACACAGCTGGAGTGCATCAGCCATGTTGTGACTTTCCGCCGTTGGGAGGAAGAAAGACACAGTTTCAGTTCTGAGGATAGCATGCCTGTATATGGAGAGCCCTAATGATGCACAGCCCGGTAGTTATGGGGGATGGGTGATAGGGGCTCCTTCTGGGAGTCGTATATGGCTTCTTTTTCCTTTCCATGCCCCTAAACCCTGTAGACCTTGAATTTTGGGTGCGGCTCTGTAGGGAGGATGTCTGCAAATCCCGAGGAGGAAGAGGCAGATGACATGTCGGGTGCCATCCGCCAACTGCGGCTAGGTTGCATCTTACTGATGCTTATGAGGCAGAAGGTGAGGAGGGAATGCACAGTACCCTAAGACCCAGCACATAAAACAAGATCATCCCCTCCTCTTGGGTGTAGCATTCGCAAGAAAATACTCCTGCTTGCTTCAGCCACAAAGTCAGTGACACTCACGTGAGGACTGATGGTGAGTTGTTGAGTCATCTCATCCGAGGCTGTCACGAATCGCAGGCCCATCTGCTCTGGTCTGCACCAAAGCAGAGGCACACATCGGTTAGCTTGCTTCTGTGTGCCGCTGGTGCTGTCTGCTGATTCTGTTGCGAGCTGAACTTGTACTTTGTAGGAGGACTGACAACATATTGTCACACTGCTTCAGCTTTCGCTACCTTTGTACCACCTGCTGCTGCCTGCCGCCCCTCAACCCTGAACCTTACAAAAATTACTTGTTCCAAGTGCTGAGTCCAGGCTGTCACCTTATCAAGTTTGGGTCTCATTGCCAATTGTTACGTAAACCCATACTAACCCCAGAATGTGATCCTTATATGATTCTGCATATTATGTTGAGGACGGGGAAGATATGCAACCTGAACACCCGCCTGCAAGGTCAGGGAGTTCTTGCGGGGCCTGTGTGGTGTGGTAGCAGAAGACAAGGACCCCGCAATAGCTCCCATCCGCAATGCTACCGATGTTCTCATTTCTGAATGCTGAGAACAGCAAGATTCGTAGAAGCGCAGCAAGATAATTGGAGTCCGGGGCTCGAGGTGTTATGAAGACTCCTGTATCTTGGATGAGAACAACGACCATGACTGCCCGAATCTTGCCCCCGCTTCTGCTCTCCGATCTTTTCATGCCGAATTCTGCTTGCAACCTTCTCTGTGAGGCAGCCGTGCCACCCCCGGTGTTGAGTGTTTAGGAATTCCGTATTATGGTACCAGGTGTTCACTCCCGCCCTCACTGTGAAGCACCACCAAGTTGTTTCTTGAGGACACTGCTTCTGCTCGGTTGGCGGCTGAGCGTGCGGAGGCCTTGACATATAGCTCAAACTTGTCGGCAAGCTCGATATGCTGAAGCTCGATATGCTGAGCAGAAGAACTCCAGCCAGGTTGTACCCTACAGTCTCGAACCGTAACAAGTGATTTCCTGCTGCCCCCTTAGAAGACTCCTGAACAGAGAGGGCCTGTACATGTTTGTTTTCGGGGCTCGTAGCCTGTGAGCCAGAACCAGCGGCAATCAGTCAGGAGATGGTCAAGAAGAAGAGTTCCAACATGGATGTGTTCGGCAAGACGCTGTGCGGCAAAATGCTCTGGTATCCTTTAAACATGGTGCTTCAAAAGTCACGTCAGGTTCGCTGGATATAAGTACCCCCCGACTGCTAACTATAATCCTAACGATGAGGACTCCTTAAAAAAAATGATCCCCATGTTTTTGACAACTTCTCATATATGTGCAGGGGGAGTGGTTGTTTGAAATGGCTTCCAAGGATGAGTTCAGCATCTTCGGGAACGTCGCCTGGCCAAATAGATCTTGAAGCACCTGCATCCCTTTGCTGATGTTGAAGTGGGAGCGGGGCTGGGAAAATAAGTATGATGGGGATCCACTTCCCCAAAAGCAGCAGTACATCCTGTGTGGCCTCAGGTCTCACAAGGCTTCCTTGCGAGAGGCAACTGGAGCTGAGCTGCCTTCCTTCAGGGTCTATGTTCCAATCGAGTCTCAGTGCATAATCTTGCATATACTATGATGTGTCATCCTTCCCAGTGTAGGGTGGTCCTCCCAAAGCGTACTCTTGATTCCCTTGGGTGTCTGATCCCCTAAGGCCTTTCGGAGGATTGGGATAGCAAACGGGCCTTGGCTCCCTGAATTCAAGGTGTAAGGGCGCCCCTGCTTGGGCATTTTAGCCCTTGAAGCTTACCATTAATTATTCCCAACCCCTAAACAATAGCAGGTTCACAATCATGTTCCCAAGGTTTCCCAAGGCTTGCTTTTAATCTGGGCCTCTTGGCAAGTAGGATACAACATCATTGCGACATACTTCGCTGCATATGTTGCGTTGAACTATCTTACAGAATTTTACCCCTGCCATGCTTGATCTCTGATAGTCTGCCAGGATGTTCGAGCGGGAAAGGTGCCATCAGCGGAAGCAACAAAGGTTCGACATCCCGCTGGGAGCCAAGGTGCACTCTTGGCCTGCGTAGATGCTAAAGTCATAGCCATTTTGCATCCGCAGACCCTCAGGGATATTCAAGTCGATGCGTTGAGCACTTTGCAATAAAGCTACATCTTTCTACGCATCATTCTTTGCAGATCCTGAGAAGCTACATACTATTCTTGAAACTCACGTGTCATGTGTGTCTAGTTGCAGATTGTAAACGATTGAGAACAGGGCTTGCTTGTGTCATGGCATGAGTATAGTCATCCGTGTCTCTTGATGTGCATGTATAGCCCTGTCTCAGAGCAATTGCTTCTCTTTTTATGTAGTTTCAGCACGCAGCAAAGCCGCGGCCAGAGCTTTTCAGCCCTTGTCCACACGACAAGCCAGTACTCGCAGCAAGTACATTCAGGGCATTTTCAGGTTCGGTCAGGTCCGCAGATTTGCGAGACAGGGCCTAGCTCTGATGACCCAGTGCAGGCATCCAGGTTTCAGGCGCGGGTGTGGTTGCTACTGTCATTGCCTTGCCAAGGCTCTCTTGTGTCATACCAGCGGAGATTGCCAAACAAGCCTAGTCCTGTGCCAAGGTCATCGTGGAAGAGGAGGAGATTTGAAAGTAATCGCTTCCCCCCTAGTACTAAACAACGTCCCCTCCCCCTCCTGGAATATTAAATAATTCGGGGCTCGACAGAGCATGTAATAAAAGCTGGGTTTTCTTATTGCAAGAATTTGATAAGGCTGCCTTTAAGATCCTTTTCAGCTTCATGGAGAATCAATAATTGATGAATCATTTCAGTTCGTAAATCACAACATGTAATGATTTAATATTTAGTCAGCTGGATTGCTTCAGCAAGTGAATAAGTACTTGGCTTATCAGGTGCCCCTTTGAAGTAGTCTTGCCCTTCTAAAAAGTGCTCTTCTGGATTTTTACGCCCCTGAAGTTGTCTTGTTATTATTTTGGGGAGTTTAATACTAGGGGAACTCGCAAGACCTATACCACTGCACTTCCTCACGCCTCGGTGCAAAAAAGGTATGTGCTGATGACACGGGCTGTCAGACCAAGCAGTAGTTTGATGTTTGATCGTCCTCGTGTTGCAGGAGGTGCGCCACATTTCTCCTCGTGGCTCTCCCAAGGTACTCGCAGCTGAATTGAACATAGGGTACACGCTGGCACTGGGCCGGATGCGAGTTTGGATGCACCCATGTTGCAAAACTCCCATTTGGCTACACAGGCTGAGGAACAAGACCCTCAGCTCTCATCATCTCGGTCAAAGCACACCGCTGCCCAGACTGCCGGCTGCCGGCCATGCCAACATGCTCATGATGCAAGCCCTCCGGGCGCCAGTTCGCATCTGGCTTGTTAGCAGAGAAGCTGAAGTGAAAGTGCACAACAGGAGCCACAAGGGTGAAGTGCACGCGATTTTTTTTATCGCTTAACCGAGATTGGAAATCGCTTGAACTTTCAACGCGCCAGGTACATTACGAGGCGCATCATGGGGCTCCGGTTCCAGCGACATGCTGTGGCAATGATCCCAGTGGTCCCGTGCCCAGAGTTTAGAGATATCGCCATTTACTATTTGTCCTGCAGCCGCTAAGGTGGCGGGGGCAGAGAGGAGGGCGATGCCTGCGGGCAACCTTCCCAGATCAATCATGCATTCTTACACAAGAGTTGCTGCAAGTTTGGACGCTCTTTGAACAGAAGAGACTCCAGGCAATATGTCCGCATTGATGGCCAAAGCTCTGAGAAGATCACAGAAACAGTTCTGGAGCAGGCGCGCGCCTGCCAATGTCAAGAGTGGCTTAGCCTAGATGTTTCCATTATGTTGTCCGGTCCTGTAGGCCTTTCCATCCTCTCTTCGGCTGCCTCCAGCAAATGCTCACCGCTTCGGATCCAGTTCTGTACAGGCCCGGACCTGCTTTCAATGCATGACTCATCACCGCTCGACAAAGTCAGGCCTCCGGGGGAGATGGAGACGAGGTCCGTGACGATGACGCTGCTGCTGGGGTTCTTGAGGACTCGCCTGATCATTATCCATGGAACTGTAGAGTCTAGGATGTGCTATTGGGATGCCCTTCGCTAAGCGACAGCTCTTTGGCTTTTCTTTCGCGTGGCCACGCGCATGTACAGTTGGTCAAGAGTTTTTTCCCCACTTGACCTCACAAGCATATGATAAGCTCCTTGATCTACCCTTACTAGAAGGGCAAGCTGCAGATCTTTGATTCCGGAAGCTGTTGCAAGGAGCGCCGTCATTACGATGAGGCCTGCCTTGAAGCCATGCTAAGCACAGACGGAAAGTTTTAGGGATTCTGATCGCATGCTTTCACGACCAATCTGCACCTTAGCTGAAGGTAGCCAGCAGCAAGCCCTCATTGACAACTGTCCCTTCCACCGGCTGCACTCTATCCCTGTGCCTCAGCAGCAGTGTCAAAAAGTTGTTGTCTGACAGCACCAGCGTTATGATGCACAGCAAAGTTATGTTTAAAGGCCATGTTGGGACGCCATCTGTAGCACGGAACTTGAATGCGCCCATAATCTGGAAAGGGATCCGAACACTCCAGAAGCAGCATGAAGCTAGCTTCCAGAAAATCTGCTGAGGCCAGCAGTCGGCAGCCTCGAGAGCATGTCCCCCTCCAGGGGCCAAAGACCTAAGGCGCGCCTGGGAAGGGCTCTGAGGTCATGGGCCCCTGTTAATAAGGGCCCCTACTAGGGGCCCATAGTTCCAACGCCAGAGGCGTTGAGGTTTAGACTGTTGTCAGACCGAGCTCAGCCGATAGCAAGACCTGCTTACTGGTGCTTCAGGGCTGAATTCAGATTCCTACAAGGATCCCTCTGCTAGTGCCTATGTACCTATATTCACTCCCACCCCCTAAAACACCAAAACATGAACATGTTGTCAGGAGTTTCGCGTCATGCTACCACCTGGCCAGACACACGGCCTCATCGTGACCACCGAGGACTGTTGTGGCTTCCCAGGTAGGGACAATCCCAAGTTTTGAGAGATTTCTTCCAAGGGGCGATGGGGATGTATGCTCGAGCGCTGGCTGGCCCGTAGCTAGAGCCTTAAGCCACCCTTGTGGGTGGTTCTGTTCTCTTTCATTTGATGCTCCATTGTGGGGGTAATGCTAAACCTACCGCCCCCTCCCCCCCGCCCCGTAGTGTCTACAAAGCATATCATGATCTCTATAATTCCCCAACCTCTCGAAGTCAAGTCTAGAAATCGCTATACAATCTCTAGAGCTCCCTCTTCTGAAAGTTCCAATTACAGGTGTAGATTGTCTATATTTCTTTACGCTAGTCTTCATATAACATCTCATTAACCACTATGCTATTTGTTCCGTATCACAATTACTAACTACTATAAAGACCATCAGTATTTCGTGATATACTGCAAGGGTGTAAGCGCAATGCAAAGTGAGGGGCTGTTATGCCGCTCCCATGTTTTGCACGTTAACTGACGCGAACGTACTGTCAGGGGTTTTGGATTAAAGGGGGTTGTTCTTTTTGGACCGTCGCGCATTTACGGAGAATTTCATTCGTCACTTGATTGGTTTTGGGGTCTTGTTCTTTAGGTGCTTTCCATTGGAAGGGCGAGATGTACTGTTGCTGACTACATCACATGTCATCTGTCCAGAGTACGTGTGCAACAGCGCGTGCTAGGCCTTGCATCTTCAGGTTTTGAAGCACGAATTCACACAATGTTGTTTTGATGTGACAGTGACATATACGATCAACAGTAAGACTGGGCTGAAAAATTTTTGGCCTTGGCGGCATCAGACACCCGCGATGCTGTCGAAGCTGATAGTGCATGTCCCCATAGAGCTGTTGAAGTCTCGTGTACAGCTTTCAGTACGTCTTCAATCTTGCCCGTGATTTGTTGTCTTGGATACATGAAATAGCAAAGTAAGGAACGAACCCTGGACTCATGGGGCAATGGAGAATTGGTTATTCAGAACTCTCCCAAATCGTGGACTACTGGAACGAACCGTAGACTAATGGACCGTTTGAAAATTAGTTCAGGACTTGCGCGTGAAGAATTTCAAAATGAGACGTCGCAAGAAGCATAAGCCGACAGATGACCTCTTCAGGTTTCCTGCCAGGGAGCTCCAATCACCGACAACTCCAATGCTTTCACCCTGCAATGCCACAAAACACTGTAATCACAGGTTATCCATCATCTCCATGGCAAATGGCCAGGTCTAACGGGCTCAAATGCGGTGTTTTGGGGAAAAATGCGCACTTCCCCAATCGCACACATGACATATGCCTAAACCAAGGACTTTGCATTTCGGCAAGCTGGCAAGGCGGATAAGTATCAACAACAAAGTTGTGGCGGCGGGTCTGTCAGCGGGAGGGTTAAACAAAAGGCTTACGTCGCATGGTTTGTCAACACTTCATGCAAGGATGGCCTCACCTTGAAGATTCGCGAGGTGTGTGACGGACGTGTCAAGGACAGCGCTTGAGGTGCAAATCTTGCAGAGTGGCGTGTAGGGCTTTCCCAAGAATAGGCGCACCTTTTGGGATTCCCTGGCATCAGGCCTTTGACACATTGGGGTCCATAAATTCGCAGTCTCCTGGAAGGACTGGAACTCTGCAAACCCCTCTTTGCACCTGGCAGCAGCAAGAAGAAAGCACGTTTGGCAATGTTGTCTTTGCAACCCTGCCAAAGGAAGCCGCGTGAAAAGTCACATCTGATGTGTTTTTAAGAGCTGCTGTTGTTTTGATACTGTACGTGCAATGCGTGCTCGAACAAGGCAAATCAAGAAGCACGATCACATCGTCCAAGCGCCGTGGCTGCAACGGCAAGCTGGGTGGTTGAATTCAAGCGGAAGCGGGGGGCAAACATGTAAGTTCGCATGGCGAGATGTTGTGACCAGTGCATGGCTGTGGGATTCTATCATGCAGCCAGGTGTCAGTTCCCACGCAGATTTCATAAACAAAGCCAAGCTTGACTCCAACAGAAGTTGTGACAAAAGGTCAACCAAGTGGTGGTTGGCGCGGACGCCATGCAGAACGAGCTTCAGAAGGTCAGCGCTGCTACTGTGGTAGTGTCCCTGCTTGAGACGAGGTCGAGCAGGTAAAAAAGCTCCTAGTAAAGGACCCCATCGTACAAGACGTAACAACATCTTCACGGCATGTGGGCACTTGGCTCAGTGTTAAGCTAGAATTCGATGCTTGCAGGATTCATCGCCACTGGAGATGATGATCCGGAGTCGAGATCACCGCAAGAGTTGCGGGATCAGCTCCAAAGTCTTCAGCTTACTGCTCGTCATGCATTTGGTCCTTGTCATGTCTTTGGGTAACACATTCACAGGATATCAGCCGCTCACTGCAGCCTAGGCTTCCTCCTCAGCGACCAGCGACGCAAGCCCGTCTACTTTGTTGGGACGTGTGGGTGCTACAATTGGCAAGGCCACGCACCAGTTGACTTACTAGTGCTTAAGGGAGGTAAGGGCAGAGGAATGTAGATGTCATTACAGGGTGAAGGGCTAAGGGTAAGGGATTGAACATATGTGCCATGAAGGGATAATGGATGATCGTGCGGAACCCACTCCACATCAAGCACCAGCAAGCCAGTCGAGCTACACTTGGGACTCCTTGAGGTAATTCTTCAAGGAAAGATATATCTCATCATACCTCGTATATAAATCTGCGACCCACAATGTCCCTTGCAAAAGATGTACTTGCTGTAGTTCAATTGGTGCTGCGGTTCACTTAGCCCGGCCGGGGTGTGCTCTGAGGACTACTACGCAAACGATCCCGCTGAGAGCAGCGAGACAGGCGCGGCTGCCAAACAGGGCAAAGGTTTTTAATGGATTATCGGCGTGCCCCTTTTGGGTTCAGCAGGGATGACTCTGAAGAGACTTCTACACCAGAAAGTCCTTCCAAGCTCAGGTTCCCCACAGCTTGAGGCAGTGATTGAGGTCCGGCATTTGGAAAGTGGACTCTCGCCAGCAAAGCCGTTTAGCGAGATCCTTTACTACTCCCTCCTTGCCCTCATTCCCTCTTCAAAAGAGACCCGAATAATCTCGAATTAAGGCTTGTTTGGGGGGGACGTAGCATCAAATCTCAGAATTTGGTAGAGCCCAGCCTGGAAGGGCCGAGCATCGCTGTGTGGGCCGTGCTGAGGTGCAACAAACGAGACCAAGCAACCTGCCCTGGCACGCAGGACATTCAAGTACGTTTGTTGACCTTATCATGTTCTGGAGTCTGGAAGGGGGTGTTCTAGGTGAGTCGTGCCCGAGTGAGCCCTAACCAAAGGCAGAGTATTGTGTGGGAATGTGTGTGACTACCTGGCTCGAGCCCCAACTCAGGCTTTCGAACCCATTCTGCACTGAACACAGTGTTTTCTCAACTTCTCGACATTTCTTACGGAGCTTCCATGGCATGCCATCTCCCTTTCGCTCTAGCCGGCACAGAATTTTGTGCGTCTTGACATGCCGTGACCAGAGCATCCATGCCCAAAGCACAATTCTGTTGGTGCTCCAAGAGGATACAGTCACCAGAGCATCCATGCCCAAAACTTACCTTCTTCTAGGCACCGTTACTTGGATCCAAGTCCTTCATTCCCGGCTAGCAAGAGGCAATTCATGTGAGTACCTCTTGCTAATAGCAAACTTTATGAGAAGAAGGTACATAATCTTACTTGGTTGGACCACCAAGAAACACCCGCACATCTGTTGATCTCGTTGCCTTGTTGCCAGGAAAGCTTCATTGCCTGGAATGTCCAACTTGCCGTGGCATTTCCTAAAGTTTTCAGGATACTGAGAGGTCATGCGCGGAACAAGCTTGGGTTTGGTTCTTTTCAGCGATTTCACGTACCGCTTTGTCATGGAGCTTCCTGGCTGGGCGCTGCTATGGCGTGCGGCTTGCAAGTGCTGCGCCTCTCAGCACTGTTGCTCTTGCGGCTGAACTCACGTCACTTTGCTGGACCACGAATTCTCCAAAGATGTTGGAACGTCTCAAGGTGTGCCATTCTTTTGCCATCTTGCGTGCTGAACACAAATCGCATCCAAAAGCTCAAGAGATGCAAATTCCGCTTGCTTAAGATCTCAGCACTGTTTCTATTGCAACTCTTCAACGATTAGTTGAAGACCTGCCATCCTGCAGGAATCGAAGCTTCGCCTCGCAGCAATCCAGCCAGCATTTGATGTTAAGCTGGACTGTTTGCCCGTCCCCAGACGAACATGAAACCCCAAAGAGGGCGCCGCAAAGACAACTCTTCGTGTCAAAGAGGCCTAGTTTCCATGTTGGCCCGGGGGTACTTGGCTTTTCCCAAGCATTACGCATTACTTTCGGGTAGGCAGCAAGGTTTGGCTCGCCGTGGATGCAGTCGGCCATTGAAAAGAATTTTGGCAGTGCTAGCAGCCACCAGGTGACAGAAGAGAGTAGCACATGGGCTTGCTTGTCAATTGAGGTACAACAACCTGCGTCGCATCGCTGCAGAACAGCAGCCGCCTGGTTTTTGCAGGTGGGGCGATGATGTGCAGTTCCAAGCAAGCTTGAGCCAAAGCCAAGAGTGGATCAACTTTCATCCGAAGTGGCGCTGAAGCCTTCCAGATGGCCACGTAACTCAACAAGCAGAGTCATGCTGCCCCATGGGCAGGCAAGTTCGCGTGCTCCTGAAGCGCAGCTTCATCCAGTGGTGGCGAGGTAGCTGGCAACGAGTGGCATGGCAACAACGATTCTTCAAGTCGGACTGTAAAAACTACTACGCACTATCAATATCACTACCACTACAAGTGTCCCCAATAATTGCGTTTGCTTTACTACAGTTGGCATGGTTTTGAAGGCCTCAGCAAGTTGCTCCAGCAGCTGTGAGAAGCTTTGCTCAGAAAAGGTATTGAGGTACATCAACTAAGTTCCAGAGCATACCAAGCTAAGAGGTCCAAGTGGGGGTTCCAACCTTAAGGCTCCTTGTTCTGCCGTATCAAAGTTTTGGAAATCCCATGAGATGTAAATGGATTCTTCTTGTGGCTAGCCACCTGCCAACTGCTCAGGCAATCTTCCTCGGAGTTATTACTGGCTCTTCAGCTATCATGGCCACTATGGACGCCTTCGTCGTGAAGGAAGCGGAGTGGCAGGCCTTCCTGTAGCCAGCTACAGGAGAGGTCTTCGACAAATCTGCGTGCATGCGTTCCGGACGGCGCAGGCCCTACCAGTGCTGAACCTGCACACGACCCTGGCCCTGCTGATTGCGGTGTTCTCCCTGAACCTTTTCAGATGCTTGGCTCAGAAGTACGAGCTGAGAGGGAATCTTACTAAGACAAGGCAGAAGATTTCACGAAAAGCAGGCACCGACCGTCCCGTCTTCTGGAGAGAGCGAGAGTCTGGGCTCAGCGTTGCGGCCTTCACAGTCTCGAAGATGGCCGCTTGGATGAGATGAGATAAAGGAGTCTTGGCTGCCTCGTGCGTGTCACTGAGGCTAAAAAGCTTTTAGTTTAGTGAGCGTCTTCCGGCAACCACCAAACGAGAGGGCTCCGGGTACTACTTGGCCTGGCTGGAGGGGCCCACAAGAAATCACATCTCAGATGGTCAACTCCATCGACTTGGTCCTACAATGCTTCCTGCTCGCTTCAGTCTGGAGCTGAGCCACAAGGGGCCATGATAGGATGTGGGAGTATCTCAAAGTGATCACTTGTTCACCCTTAAAAAAACCCAACGTGTCTCGGGGCATCCTATTTTGAGATGCCTCTACGTTTCAAGATGCAGCCTCATGGCCCTAGCCTAGTCCTTCCCCTGTAAGGTAGCATATTCTTGCTAGTGGCTAGGTAACACCCGAGTCATGACCAACTTGTGAGCTATCATTCCTTTGACATGAGTGCTAGCACAGATGACGCTTGCATTTCGCAATACGGTGGTTGTCAACAATTGGGGGTCCTGTTTTGGAGGCCCTCACGATGATGATTATGCTATTTGAGGCTATATTGGGCTGACCCTCTTAGTTTTAGGAAATTACAATATAACTATCTGGGACTAGCTGGAAAGCAGAGCTTCCTCGGAGGTTTACTTCCTGATCCGTCAGCCTGTCGTCAGCTTCCTCGTCTTCTTCCCGCCCTTCTTGCTGGTTTCTGGAGCTGCACAGAGGGATTCCGGGGCATGAAGAGTTGAACCACAGTTTGGAGCGTGTACTATGCAGGAAGGAAGCAGCTTGGTCATTTTCCACGCCTTACAATTATTGACGTAAGTGTAGGTATGAGTATGAGGATTCAGACTTTCATTCGCCACACACGTAGGCAAATCAGTGTATCAGTGTATCTATATGTATCTATTCATTGAGAAAGCCTCGCTTCGAGATCTGAGTACAAGAGCCTGGGGCTGGGTTTTTTTCCAAAGCCCAAAACGCAGGCCTGACATACCCACAGATATTGTTGTCCTCATTATGGGCCCCCAAATTCTGTAATCCGTAAGATGGAGTCTCCCAAGCAGGGATGCTCCCCTGTGTTCAGAACCCTGAGCCCCATGTATCATCAATACCCCTATGATACCTTCGAAGAAAAATTCAAATCCTCCGGAAGGTAACAATTGCCGCATCTGGTCTGGGCTATGCTATCTCAACCTGCTTCCCGCCGAAGCATGGTCCGTTTATTACCGCAGCTTGGAGAAGTGGAAGGAGATGTGGAGTTGAGGACATACTTGGTCGGGTTAGGGCTTTGGGCTTAGGGTTCAGAACAGAGGCATGCTACAAAAGATCACCTGGCCCTTGTCAAAATGTGGCTGGCGCCCCAGGCATGCACACTCCTCTCGCCTCAGGCCATTGTCATCTTTGTCAGTTGCGGTCTGTTGGGGCATCCGCTCCGCGTCGAGACGTGTCTTGGACAGCTCTGAGAAATCGGGGCCCCATCATCCTGGGATTGCTTGGCAAAAATTCTGCTTCAGGCATAGCTCCTTAACATCTTGCCATGAGTGAGCATCGCGCAGGATATGTTCCGGGCACTGCAAAGCACGACATTGTTGTAAACAGACGGATAATTTTTACCACTGTACATCATGCCTCTTCTGCACATGAAATCGAATGACTCAACATGTCGACATGTAGGATGTCACAGACGAAGTGGTGCTCAGTTCTATCGTTCTGCTGGCACTGACCAAGGATGGCAGACGGAGGCTTGCTCGAACTTGCGCGGTCCTTAGGACACCCAGAGAGGAGGAGGGTACCTCTGAATGGCTGCCCTCAAGAGGGGCGCCTACAGAAATGGAACTAGAAAGTGCCATTGCGCGTGTGAATCTGAGCTTCCACGCCGCAATCAGGTCCTGGATACGCTCTCCATCACACGCTGGACTGCAGGGTGGACATTGCAAAGCCATTGCTTCAGACACGCAATCCATTTATTAGCACCTGCGCATGTTCCGGCTGGACGCCTGCACCTTTTGGTGTTTCTTGAGAGTGGGGGTGTGGCTCCTTGTACCAATCGTATATCGTTTAGACAAGTGGTTTTACATAACCCCCACTCCCCATTAAAGCACCAGTCAATTTCTTCAAGCTACCAGGACTGTGGGCTACTACTACCTGAACTTTTTGGTCTGCCACTCAGAACTGCCCGGTTGTAACTAGTCAGAGACGTGACGCCCGCCCAACTCCAGCTGAAGAGTCGCTGGAACCACCATACAGCCAGTGTGAGTGAAATGGCCATGTCAGCTGCTTGTAGGGACCCAGCTGACTGATCATTTCGCATGTCAGCTGTTCATTACGCAGATAAGTTGCACAATCATCACACGGTTTGCATTGGAAAGCATTCCTGTGCGCTAGCAGTGGTTGAGCGGCGTGTGTTCTGGACCTGGAATCTGCATGCAGGGGGAATAAGATTCATCACTCACTACCCATTATAGAGTATCTATCATTGTGTGCATTAATAATGGGGAAAGAAAATAACGAAAACCCTTACATAATCTTGTAGCAGATCCTAGGGATGGCAGTTTAAATGCCAAGTTGTGACCAACATCTTACAGTATCATTTGATTGCCGTTTCGCGTAGATAACACTCGTGTTTTGCAACATACCTGACATGTAGCAGCGTGAGGTCGACACCGATCTGTCCCTGTTCGCATCCGACCCCCAGGTGCTACAGTCCGCTTCACATGTGGGTAGTATGCTTCGGGGTCGCATAAAGGGGAGTTGTGCCAAAACCCCTGAAATGCTGTTGATACACTGTAACTAGTTAGGGTTCCAGCTCCGCAAAAAGGCGGGGCAGTTGATGGGCTGTTCGGAGCGGGAATTAGGCACCGCCCCTGACATACACATATGTATATGTATGGTAACTCCCGCAGAATTTGCCTCAACCCCTTTCTCTGATAAACAACAATAGAGGACACGGTAAATGCCAAGGAATTCGCGATTTCTTGCTACCCGGTCTCATCATGAAGAAATCTGTCTTCTGAGAGTTAGAGTATATTCCACTTTCCCTAATTGCATTATTAAATTGTGCCCGTAAATGCAAGGGCTACGCATCACACACAAAACCGGAATCCAGGGTTGCAGGATTTGGATTTTGGCATTCCGTTCCAAATAGATTTCATAAGGGATTTAAATGAACCGGACCCAGCTCGAAAACCAGGAATCCAGGATCCGGTAGAGGTTGAAAGTTGAAACCGTATGAGGGAGCTATATAAGATATAGTCCAAACTGATTCGCCAACCTGGAAAATCCAACAATCCACAAGACTTCACCAGATGCACCCACATTTTTTAAGATGTTCGATGTTCTAGGTTATCGTTGTTTTAGCCATCCAAAACTTACCACGTAGTTAATTTGTTCAGGGTTTGCAGTCTTTGAATGGAAAAGCCAGTATTTCCTAGGCTTTATGTTTCATCGTCAAGGGAAATATAAAAGTTTAGGAAACAACAGTTTTGGAACCAGGGAAACCTGAACATCCAAATTGAGCTTTTCCAAAACAATCCCACCCCCAAAAAATTAGGAAATCCTAAATACCAAATGCAATTGGAGAATCCAGCATATGTTTCACATGATACAAAGGATTGGAAACAAACTCCAGGATTCGAGCATTTTGCATTCCACCCGTTTTGAATTTGCATAAGCAGGGATTTATATCAGCTATAGTCTTAAACTCCTTGAAAGGGGGGGAGTACTATGGCGGTTATTAGGGGCATTGTAGTATTTGGGGGTTTATTCCCCTTATTTAGGGAAACTACCATTTATATGGATCAGAGCCGGTTCAAAAACCAGGAATCCAAGATTCTAGCAACTCGGTGTCCCTTCTCATTAATTAATTCAACGAGCGACTTATATGGACCAGAACCAGTTCCAATATCAGGATTTGTGAGTAAGTTTTCATGCAGTTTAATATGTGATTCACATGGGCCGGAACCAGCTCGAAAGCCCAGCATCTAGGATTTCGCGGTTCTACTATCCGTTCTAATGAAAGAAATTGGAATACGGGATTTGTATGGACTGGAGCCAGATTCAAAGTCAGGCAAACAGGATTCCAGGATTCTATAGGTTTCATGTGGGCCGAGCAAAATCCCCTAAACTATCAACCAAGTTGCACAAGTTACTTGACAATATCTGTAACTAATATTCAACATCTGAAAATCCAATAAACACATGGAGTTTTTAGCGTGATGTTCTATTGAAGTCTAGTCGAAGTTAGCTGAGATTCTTCCAAGATTTGCAGAATCCCGCTTAAATCTGACACTCGCAGGAATCTGTGAAATTCCCCTTCAATGTCCAATTACATGAATGTGTAGATTCTTGAATTTGACTTGATGGTCATCGACATAATTGTTGAGTCGAGGTTTGTAGAAGAGAGACTAGTGGAATATTATGTTTCAGAACTGAAAGAAAAGTGCTTCCAAATGGAGCTGTGTGTCTTCTGCAAATTCTTGGGGCTCTGATGAAATTGCTCTTGTCAGCCTGGATTGCTTAAGTTCCACAGAATTTCGAAATCTTGTTTGAAGTTGCGTTTGTCTAATTGTATGCGATATGGAACTGCAGATCTTGCAGGGCATCGTCTGGACATGTTTTTTTGTAACATTGTTCTTGTACTTCAAAAGGTCTTCCAAGACTTGGTGAGCTCCCTGTATGGTCTTCCATTTACTTGAGGAACCCTAATTCAGATTTGACATGCGGACGCAGGTTTAAGATAAGATTTCACATGGAACTAAGAGCCCTCAGTGATAGAATTCATATTAAAGCTTACTTGATGGTCACCTACTGGAGGCAAGGGCCCCCACAGCAGACCCACGGAACTTTCCTATTTGATGCTCCCCCGGCCCTCTCCCAAACCCACCAGAGCATGCATAAAGAATAATTTCAAATAGATAAACGTCTATATATATGTATATTTATGTAGATGTATCTATGCATACATATATCTGTAGATGTGTGTATGTTGGTGTGTATTGGCGTGCCCATATTTATGGAATTCACCATGTGGTGTGCAGAGCAAATGTGCTGGCAGCAACCCAGGTGCTGTCAAAACTTAGAGACCCCTGGCCAGTGCTTCATGCAGAGCTGTTCAAGACAGAGCAGATCATGCCTCGTTTGAATGCCACTTCTGCTGTTAAAGTTGACTGTCGTGGACACAGGGCGAGTTTTTTTGAGGTGCAATGCCTGAAAGGTTCCATCATAGAGTCATGGTCGTTTGCTGCAGCATGAGGCCAAATTTGCCAAAGGCGTCTTGTCAAGTGACGACCAGGCTATGGAGATGATAGCTGGAATCGAAGCGATCTACACAGGTCCACAGTTGCTCTGGCTGCATTGATAACGGCCTCCCACGGATCGCCAAACGCAAGTCTCTTGGGATCCAGCAGCAAAGGCAGCTTTAGGCGCCTTGCGAACCTTAATCCCGCACAGTGTCCTGGTAAGGCTGGTCTCAAACTCAATCCTCGGCTTACACCTCAGCTTGCACTGACAGCGACACGATGCATTTGCGCATGATGCCAGGGACTGCTGGGTCAATAGCCGTCAGGTTCCTGAGCACCGTAAATGAGAATTAGGGGCCCCGCTTGAGGATAATGATATATTTGGGTTCATACTGAGGCCACTTTTAAACCAGATCCCTAGTCATGCAACGCGCTGAGGCATGTCGTCTGCCATCGTCTTCTGCGTTTGCATGGGCTTGCTTTGGTGGCCCTGCCGGAGATCATTTGATCTATGCTTGGGCATGACCTTGAGATTGTTGGTGCTGTAATTGGAACCTGCCTCTAGAAAAGTTCCTCGAGAGTTTCCTTGTGCCAACCAAAGAGTGTGCCTGCGGCAGTCCGGTAGTGCTGCAAGTGTTGGTTGTCTCCGCTTGCTTGCAGCGTGCAAGGCATGTTGTGGCATTCTTGCGGCTGCTTCTGAGCAACCGCAGCAGGGGGCATCGCTGCTGGTCTGAAGAAGTTTGCATGAATAACTGACAGCCTCGTCAGCCATGAATCTGGAGTGGTGCAAGCGTTGCGGTTTCGCTGTGCTTTCACACAATACCAAAGCGGTTAAAAAGGCAGTGTACGATCCAGGTCGCGCAGCGCCGTGGAAGCAACGCCTGTACCGGTTCCAAGGTGCGAACAACGTTTCTGATGCAGTGTGCAAGAAACTAAGCGAATAGACCTGCCACTTTCAACCTGAATATGTAACAAGCCGATAAACCCTGCAACCACAAACCCCCAAACTCCTGCAGCATTCGAAGAAGGAGTATCTGCAAGTAGCTGGGAAAGCCGACCGGCAAGCGCGGCTCTTAATACCAAAGAAACTACAGCAGCACAATACCCGAATCTTCAAAAACACACGAATCATGATGATCCAAGTCTACGGTGCTGCGAAAGTATAATATTCGAGATACCGTAAATATTAGGACTTGTAGGTATCAAATAATGTTGACAACAAGTAA